TCAGATAGCATGTGTGGGAAGGGTCAGCAAAGACAAATGGAAACCCAGTTGCAGGGGGAGAAAGGAAGCGATAAGCGCCCAGCTCTGAGAAAGCTTCTAAGCAGCACAGGGGACCTTTGAGGAATGTGTCGAGTTATCCATTAGCCCGTTGGACAACCCTGTCCCCCCCGAACACCTGGATTCACTCCAGCAAAGGCTAGGTGGCAAATAACGGCAGCCGGGAGAGGGAGACATCTAAGCCGGAGCATCTTCCCCCAGAAGGAAAAGTCCTTGTCCATGTGGGGGAGGACCAGGGCTTTGGAACTTCCCTTTGGGGATCAGCCCCCCCCCCGAATGCAATGGGTGGATGAAGAGAGAATCCCATCACACCTTGAAGATCAACGGGTGGATTGCTGGCATTAGCACCCATGGATGAAGGCACCCAGCATTCAAGAAAGTTGGACTCTTAGGCATCATGCCCACGGCCCGTCTTTTGCTTCTGGGACTTATCGTCCAAAAATACAAATGTGCACATTTCTAACTTATAGTAGAACCCTGTAATTAGTTCCAAGCGGATGCTGAAAAAAGCAGATTACAGCGAACACTATTTTAATGGCAAACATTATACATAGTGTGGTCTCTGGCTCCCTCTAGTGGACAGTTTGGGCAATGATATCATAGAAATATATTCTTCTATGGCATGTTACACATAGCATGGTCTCTGGCTCCCTCTAGTGGGCAGTTATCGTAACTTCATCTATAGAAATATATATATTTCTAGGATTTTTCTTTTAATATTTTTAACATTAACTGTGGATAGCTGAGTCAGCAGATACTGATCCTGAAGATATGGCAGTCCTACTGTATATGTTATGTGCTTCTTGGTCGGTTGTATTCATATTCCGCTTTTCCTCCAAAGAACTCAAGCCGTCATGTGCTCTCCTCCTCCATTCTGTCTCTTCATCCCATCCTGGGAGGTGGGCCAGGTGGAGCCTAAGATTGCCCCCATCTCAGTGGGATCATGAGATCCCCAGGGTTCAACCCATTCCAGTGGTCTCACCACCAATGTTCTCACCGTCTGTCCTTCCGGCACTTGTCTGCCCTTTGGAAGAGCTGCAGGAGGCTATGGCTTTCAACACGTGACTGACGGTTCTCCTTTCCCTGCAGAGATGCACAGCACCTTCATCATCCTGCTGCCATTCAGCCTCATCCTGATGACCTTCGGAGGAATGATGGGGTTCTTTGGGATCCTCACCCAGGCTTACTTCCTTGTCCTCTTCACTGGGCTGATCTTTCTCTTTGGAGGTAGGTCACGACATAGACGCGGGCCTCGTTTGGTGGGACCCAACCCTCCATCCCTTCCGAGGTACCGTATTTTTCAGTGTATAAGACTATACTTTTGTCTAAAATTTTTAAACTAAAAATTGAGTGTCATCTTATACACGGAAGTAAGCTGAGGAGAGTACAAACACAAGTGGAGGGGAAAGCAGGGCTCAAAGCCCTGCAGGAACAATTTGATCCCTGCTTTCCTTTTGCTAAGGACTAGCAAGTGGAGGGGAAAGCAGGGCTCAAAGCCCTGCAGGAACAATTTGATCCCTGCTTCCGCCTCTGCTTGCTACGTCCCATTGGGCTTAGCAAAAGGATGGGGGGAAGAATCAAAGCAATCCTGTGGCTGTATAAGGAAAATGAAGTCCTTTTGAAAGGATGTAATCCTTCTTGCTTCCTGTATTGAGGTTGGAGAACATGACTAAAATGCTTCGGGTAACAACTTGTAGTTCTTTTAATCCATTTCCTTTCTTTCTGGAGTCTCTCTCTCTCTCTGTCTCTCTCTCTATCTTTCTGGAGTCTCTCTCTCTCTCTCTGTGTGTGTGAGAGAGTGTGTGTTGGCACATATCTATATTTCAGAAGGCTGCTCCTGGTTGACTTTATTCAGCTTCTCAAGCCTTAAGTACAGAAAAATAGATTACATGCATATCCGAAAGCTTGGACAATCTCTTTTCAGATTATAACGATGTATCGGAATCCATCGGATTCTCAAGAGTTATGTACAAATACATGCGTGACTCTCTCTGTGTGCATTTGTGTGCTGACGTTCTTGGGATCTTTGAAACGTTATGCTTTGGGTTACCTAAGGATGGGTCCGAAAGTTGTTTTCCATTGACGTTCTTCAAGTTCTCAAGATTTCTATCTACAGAAATCTATCTACAGATGAGAGATTTGGGAATGTTGGGTTTTTTTGGCTTACGACCACTGTAACCTCCCCAACCAGGATCCTGGAACTTCTCATTTGCAAAGTTACTTTTCCATGTTGTGTCGCTCGACCGACCTCTCTCAGTCTCTCTGGTGGTTTTGAGGTTCTGTCTGTGTCTCCCTTTAGCTCTCATCACCTTGGCTGGCCTCAGTCTCTACATCAGTTACTCAGCAGCTGCCTTAAAAGAAGCCAGGTTCCTGATGGGAACGAATCGCCTCCTGGACCACATCAACATCCAGTTCGGGTGGTCGTTGGCCTTCGCGTGGTTCTCCTTTGTGGCCGAGGTTCTCACGGGGCTAGCTTTTCTTCTGATGTCCAGGATGATCGGTTTGGAACGAAGACGGGACCGCTCCATATGATGCCGCCTCACGCTCGGATCTCCGAGGCTTTCTCCATCCCGAATTCTCTGCTTTTTCCTCCCCTTTCTTTTGAGCCGACGACTGGCGTTTCTCGCCAAGTCTTTCGAGAGATGGGGGGGAAAAAAGGGGTATTTTGTCATTCTACAATGATTTGTTTCCTTTTTAAATGCCTGAACGAGCCCTAGTAGTGATGAAGAAAAAGGCAGCGATATAGTATGACTCCCTTTTCAGAGTTAGAAAGAGATCCGGGAGGATAACCGTGGTCTTTGCTGACATCTTATGGCAAGCCTGAGAAACGAATCCATAGCAGAGAACAAAAAGGGAGGAAAGCGGAGAAAAGACGGATTGAAGAGGCCGAAGGACCAAGATTGTTTCTGGATCCATGTGCATTTAAGGGATTCCAAGGGAGGAAGACATGTGCTGGTTTCCTGAAATAAATTTGATTTTTATTTGTAAATTGCCCCCAGGGTTTAGTTGGCTAATTCTTAGCCTCGCCATGTCTTTGCTGAACCGTGTTGCAAAGTAAAGTAGTTTATGTTGACATAATTTTCAGGTGTGTTTGTTCCTTCTTAGACCTTTGCTTGAAGGTTGGAAAGAGGTTGGTGGTTATCACCAAGGGTTGATATATTTTGAGGCAGTGTGACACACACACACACACACACACACACAAACACACACACACACACACACAAGATGCAATCATGACGGTCTCCGTGGCCAGCCTTCCCATGCCCACAAGCAGCGGCCAAAAATACAGGCAGCTGAGTAGATCCATAAGATCCATATCGACAAAGAAAGAGCAGGGCTTTTGTAAACTTAACAGCCCTTAGTGGCCCAATCAAGACCAAGTCACCATCAAATATTTTCCATGGGCAACTGCGAGAGCTGACAGCCCCATATTGTTCCTGAGAAAAGCTTTTTATTTCCTAGCTACTCAGAGGACTGCAGGAAAGTTCAAAGAGAAGAAGGAAGCCTGATGGGTGTGGCACGGGATGTTATAATACTTGTCCCTTAGAAAGTCCTGGGGTTCAACTCTGCAACCCTACCTCCGCTCCTTTGTTTATCCTTTGTTTATCCTTTGTTATTGTTTCGTCATTAAGTCATGTGCAAATCTTTGTGACCCCAAAATTAGAGATGGACATTTTTATCTATCTATCTATCTATCTATCTATCTATCTATCTATCTATCTATCTATCTATCTATCTATCTATCTATCTATCTCTCTACATA